TATTTTTAAGACAGGGTCTCACTATGTAGTCCAGACTGTCCTTGAACTCACTAGGTGTTCGAGGCGGGCCTCCAACTTGAGGAGATCCTCCCATTTCAGCCTCCTGGGTGTCAGGATTCCAAGTGGATGCCACCACGCTCAGCTTCAGGATCACAAATTTAAATGAATAAAATAACCAATTAAATGGAAGGTTTGGTACATATAGTAATAATGTAAAAACTTTTAAAATAATTTAACAGAATCATTACCATAAAAATGTATAATTGCTCACCGCACCTAGGCATTGTGGCAAAGCAATGCACGTAGATTTTTTCAGTGTTTCTTTTGTAATTGATTTTCTTTTCTTTCTTTTTTTTTCTTTGTATTTTAGGACAGGGCCTACAGGGTCTCACTGCATAGCTCGGACTCATAGTGATGCTCCTGTTTACAGCCTCCCAAGTGCTGGGATTACAAGTGCATACCACCAAGCCCAGTCTCAACTGCCATCTCAGCGCACAGGGTGTGGGGAGTGGGGGAGGGGGCACAGCAGGCCCAGGGATTGAACTCCTGGCCCCTACGTCTGCCTAAGCAGGAGCTTGATTTTCTTTTTTGAGATAAGGTCTCCCTACATGGTTCAGGCTGGCCCTGAACCCACCACAGACCTCAGGCTAGCCTCAAACTCACAGAAGTTATTCTGCCTCAGCCTGAGATTATAAGCAGGTGCCACCATGCCTGGCTCTTAGGTTTCTTAACTGGAAGTGAGATATCCCACACTGGTGCCATCCAGTAGAGTTTTCTATACTGATGGCAATCACCTCCATATGTTCCATTACAGTAATCCCAGTCCATACAAAGCTACTGAGCACTTGAAATATGGCCAGTGCAATTGAGGAACTGAATTTTTAAACTTAATGCATTTTGTATTAAAATAGAAATGCCATACATCACTAGTGGCTATCATATTGGGTAGCACAATGTAATTCATTACACAAAGAGTAACCCCAAATAACAAGGGCTTATTCTCTGCTGTGGTAATAAACTTTTGGCTTTCTTAGCAACCATTGTGTAGCACACTTTACTTCAAACCAGTTAGAAAATCCATTCACATTTCTTATTGTTCACAGTGGCTGACTTCAGCTAGAGAGGACAGCCTGGAGCACATTGGACAAGGATATGACAATTCCTTTGGAGCAAGGACTTGAAGCAAATAGAGCTTGAGAGACAGGACTATGACCAGAGGTTGCACCCAACACATTGCTTGTAGCTGCAAATTACATACAGGGCCTCATTAATTAGGAAGATGGATAAGGAATTAATGTTTATTTTTATTCAACTACTTATAAAATATTAGAACTAGCCCATATGCCAAAAGAAAAAAAAGAACTCTGTAAAACAGACTAGTATATGGCCATTAAAAATGATGTTGAAGAGCTGGGCATGGTGGTGCACATCTATAATCCCAGCACTCGGGAGGCTGAGGCAGGAGGACTGCTGAGTTCGAGGCCAGCCAGGGATACATGGTGAGTTCAAGATCAGCATAAACTATATAGCAAGATCCTATTTTTTTTTCTTTTTTGGTAGTACCAGGGATTGAACTCAGAACCTTGCATTTGCCAGGCAAGCACTTATTTCACTGAGCTTTCTCCCAAGATCCTATTTCAGAACAACAAACAGATATTGAAGATAATGTTTATCATCTATAATATGTTCTGATATCACTAAGTGAAAAGACCAGCAAAATGACATACATGTAATAATCCCATTTTTGTAAAAAGATCAGAAAGATTTACTGAAGCAATGAATAACATTTAGTGTTAAGATTATAGGCAAGTAGGATAGATGACAGGTTACTTTTTTCTTAATGACTTTTCTGTGTTGAATTTTTACTTGAAGGGCCAGCCAAATAACTCTGCAGATTAAAGCGCCTGCAAGCTAGAGCAGGGGCCAGAGGTTTAATCCCCTGGCCTGCTGTGCCGGATGCAGCCCTGGGACATGCTGAAACTGAGTTTGAGACTGGGCATGGTGGCGCACACCTGTAATCCCAGCACTTGGGAGGCTGTAAACAGGAGAATCACTATGAGTTGGATCTAGTAGTGAGACCCTGAACACCCTGTAGATCCTTCCCTAAAATACAGAGAAAAAAAAATTTTACTTGAAAATTCTTTACATAGACCACTAATTGTTTCATTTATTTGCTCTATTGAATTTTCAGTGTTATGTCTTTTTTTGTTGTTGTTCCAGTAAAGAGGATTGAACTCAGGATCTTCTCTGAATTAATCTCTGGCCTTTTTAATTTTGATTTGGAAATTTTTATTTTTATTTTATTAAGTCATTAAATTGCCCAGGCTGGGCTTGAATTTATGATTCCTCCTGCCTCAGTCTCTTAAAGCGCTGAGAATATAGGCATGCACTACCACACCCAGGTTGTTTGACGATTTTTAAACATAAAGAATAGCAGCATGCTAAATGTGCAGGCCTAGGCCACAAACCCTAGGCTTTTGGACAGTCATGCTCTGGATTTTTGCCTTTTGTTTGTGGTAGTTTTCATCACACAGAATTAAAAACATGCACAGGATAACGTAACTAATTTTCTTTTAGACTTCTGGTTTTGTTGTATAGTTATAAGGACTTTTTCCACTTGAAGATATGAGCGAATTTTCCTAAGATTATGCTAGGATTTTTTATGATAGTATTTTTTTCCATTTACTGTCTAGAATATATTCTTGGGCAAAATCTTAATGCTGAATCCAACATTTTCCCCTATATCTGCTTGGTCTTTCTTAAACAGCATTTACTGAATGTCCCCACTGAGTTGAGATGCTACTTATTATTGAAAAATAGATTCTGATACAGATTTGGGCATAATTTTAAATCCACTATTTTCTTTTCTTTTCTTTTCTTTTTTGCATTTTTTTAGGGAAGGGTCTACAGGGTGTTCAGGTCTCAGTACTAGATTGGACTCGTAGTGATCCACCTGTTTACAGCCTCGCAAGAGCTGGGACTACAGGAGTGCGCCACTGCGCCCAGTCTCAACTGGCCTCTCAGCATGCCCCAGGGGTGGGGCAGGCTCAGCAAGCCTGGGAATTTAACGCTTAAAGGCTCTTATTTATATATTTATTTTCCATAATTTTATTCAGAAACAAATGGCAATGAGACAGTTTCAAACCAAATTGGTAGGACAGTTTCAATAATTAACACCTTGCATACATTCTTCCTAGTGGTTAATTGCTGTACAAGATGCGGACATGATATCTTATTTATAAACACCATTAGAACAATCCCTCTATTCATTAAGAGAATGTAACTATCTATCCCAACCATTTTGAATACACAGATACAAAATGGACATTCATCTGTATCCCCTTTTCTTGTTTAGTTCCGTTATTTGAATGTTATAGGTGTGTTATCTCAGCAAAATCTTCTAAAAGAGTCCAGTAGCCCATAATAGTATTGGGTCTTCCGCCTGACTGGCAATGTCAGAAATTGTTGACCTGAGTCCCCTACAGCTCAACATAACAGCATGGCTTTACTTCTTATACTTTTCTTTTTTAATACTTTTCTGCTGGATAGTTAAGACCAAGGCAAAGCAGGACCTATGCAACAAGAGTTGTAGCTTAGGAAGAATGTATGCAATGTGTTAATTATTGAAACTGTCCTACCAATTTGGTTTGAAACTGTCTCATTGCTATTTGTTTCTCAATAAAACTATGGGAAAAAAGGGGGATACAAATGAAAGACCATTTTGTATCTATATATACAAGATAGTTAAGATAGATATGCAACTACTTTCTCTTAATTCAATGAGAAGAAAGATTTATACTAATAGTGTTTTGACAGGATATCACATCTGCATCTTGTACTATGAATAACCACTACGAAGACAATGATATGTAATGTATTAATTATTGAAACTGTCCTATTAATCGGTTTTGAAACTGTCTCATTGCTATTTGTTTCTCAATAAAATTAATTGAAAAAAATTTTTAAAAGACTCAGGACATATGAGAACTTGTACTGTAACGTCATGTAACTCGATAGTGTCCCAAATTTTCTGATCAACGAGATTATGGGGCCAAAGAGGAAAGTGATCGATGATGTAGAGTGTGCCTAGGGAGAGTCACACGGAGGGAAAACATTCTCTCAGGGTTTCACAGAGAGCACATTGGCCAAGCAATGGCCGTGACTCATCCACATGGCTGACACTGACAAAGGTTCTACAGTCTGAGGCACAGGATCTCAGGATAAATCCTGAGAGGATTTCACTGACCTTATCAGGCTTAAAGGCTCTTTAATCCGATGAGCTATTTGACTGGCTCTAAATCCACTATTTTCTTCCTGTGATGGTTTATGTATGGTCCCAGGGATTGAACCCAGAACCTCATGCATGCGAGGTAAGCACTCTACCACTGAGCTACAACCCCAGCACTTTGGTGGCTGATTTTATGTCAACTTGGCTGGGCCAGGGATGCTCAGGTAGTTGGTTAAATGTGATCTGGGGGAGGGGTGTCTGTGAGAGTGTTTCCTAAAGAGATTAAGACTTGGATGGACACACTGAATACAGCAGTATGCCTTTCCCAACAGGATGGGCATCACACCTCCACTGAGTAGAACAAAAAGATCACTACCATGCTTCCCTCCACCTCTTTTTCCATGTGCCAGTATGGTGAAATTTAGTTACTGAAGCTTTATAGTCTTAGCAAGCTTACCATTCCTTATTTTCTTGTTTAGAGTTTTCCTTGGCTAGTCACGCTTATTTGTTGTTACTTGGGTTTAGAAGTAGCATACCTACATAAAACTCTATTGGTATATTTACTGGAACTACAGTCAACTTATGGAGCATTAAACCATTCTTGGAGAGTAACAGCTTAAGGAGAACTGGTATCAAAGGTGTATTTATGGTGTCTTCCTATCCAATAATATGGGGTGAGTTTTATTAATTTAAGTCTTCCTTTGTACCCTTCAGGAATATTTTACATTTCTGTGTCAACTTTCCTTGGTTAAGCTCATTCCAAAGTATTTTATATTTTTATTTTATTATGAACAGCACTCTTTCATTGGGCCATTGTATCAACTGTTATGTGACTATATCAAATATATTTATTTCTATAAACATTGTACTTCAGTGATTACCAAAAGATCTTTTTCTAGTAGTTTTTCTTACTGTTTCCTGCATTTATTTTTTATTTTCTGGTCTAATTGTATTGGCTACTTCCAGAACATAATGAGGGGTTTGAGGCAGGGTCTCATTATGTATTTTAGGCTGGACTTGAACTCACGGCAATTTTCCTGCCTCAGCCTCCCAAGTTCTGGGAGAACAAGTATGTGCCACCATGCTCGGCATGATTTTTTTTTTTAACAGACAGGACCTCCCTGTGTTGCCCAGGCTGTCCCTGAACTCCTGGGCACTAGTGACCTTCCTGCCTCAGTCTGCTGAGTAGCTGGGACTACAGATGCATATTGCCACACTCACTTAATCTAAGTATAGTTTAATATGGTAAAGATACCTTCTATATTAAGCATAATTCAGTTGATCCATTGTAATGGGTTGAACATCTGGGATTTCCCCAAGTATGGCTCAAAAATATTGGGAAAAAAAGTGCATTTGTACTGAACATAAAGATATTTTTTCTTGTCTTCATTTCCTAAGTAATACATGATAACAACTAGTTACATAGAATTTACATTGTATTAGCTATTATAAGTAATCTGGAGCAGATTTAAAATATATAGGAGGATATATGCTATACACAAATAGTAAACCATTTCATATGAGGAATAGAGAATTTTGCGAATGGCTTTTAAAATCTGTAGAAATGGCAGGCACAGGGGAGTGCCTGTAATACAAGTTACTCAGGAGCCTGAGGCAATGAAATCACAATTTCAGAGCCAGCCTGAGCAACTTAGCTGGACTCTGTCTCAAAAAATAAAAAGGGGGCTGGCAAGATAGCTCAGTGGACTAAAGTGCCTTAGGCAAGCTTAGGCAAGCTCCAGGGACCCCGGTTCAATCCCAGGCACCACATAGCACACAAGCCCCACCCTCAGGGTGGGCTGAGCTGGCCAGATTCTGGGCGTGGTGGCACATGCCTGTAATCCCAGAGGTGGGGAGGCTGAAAGCAGGAGGATCACCATGAGTCCGAGCTGCATAATGAGATGCTGTAACAACCAAATACATTAAAAAATAAAAAGATTTTAAAAGAGGGGCTTAAGATATACAGCACCATGGTACAATTTCCCTGGGTTTGACTTCCTGCATCAAGAGAAAAAACAACTATGGTGATAACAATGTGGTTTTAGTTAGTGACTGAAATGATAAATATTAATAACATTAATCATGAATCACCTTTCTTGCATTAGTAGAACATACACTACTTAGAAAAAGTACATATTTCTTTTAATATGCTGTTGAATTCTATTTCATTTTATTTTATATTTTTTATGTATTTGGGACAGGGTCTCACTATGCAGCTTGGACTCTAGTGATCTTTCTGTTTTAGCCTTCCCAGAGCTGGGATTACAGACATGGGCCACCACACCTGGACTTGGCCAAACTCAGTAGCTGGCTCAGCGTGCCCAGGACAAGGCCGGCATGGCACATGGTACAGTGTTGGATTCTAGTTCAAAGATTTTATTTTGGCTGCTTTTTTTGTTTTGTTTTTTATATTCTTCAGAAATGCCAGGCTAAAGTTTATCTATTTATTTATTTTGGCTTTGTTGGGGAAGCAATCTATAAGTGTTAGTAGCAGTTATCTTGGCTTCATAAAGAAGTGTGTGGAAAGTTTTGGTTTTGTATGTATTTGGTACAGAGTCGCACTATGCAGCTCAGACTCACAGTGATCCTCCTGTTTTCAGCCTCCCCAGTGCTGGGATTACAGGCATGTGCCACCATACCCTGTTTCGGTGGCTGGCTCAGCATGCCCAAAGTCAGGCTGGTGCAGCATGTGTTGCCAGGGATCAAGCCTGGTCCCTGCTTTCGCCTAAGCAGCCACTTAGTCAGCTGAGCTATCTTGCCAGCCCAAGGTTTTATTTTTATGAAACTTCTTTGTGATCCATAAATGATTCCATATAGCAAAGCTTTTTGTTTTGTTTTGTTTTTCTCTTTCTATATGGCAAATAGAATCCAGTATTATACTTTATACTATAACTAAGCAGGATTTTGTGTATTGACATAGTAACCACCACTTACCCTTAATTTTTTTTTTGTATTTTAGGGAAGGGTCTTCAAGGGTGTTCAGGGTCTCACTATTCACTACTAGATCGGACTCATAGTGATTCACCTGCTTATAGCCTCCTAAGAGCTGGGATTACAGGTGTGTATGGGCATGTGCCACCATGCCAAGACTTCAATTGCTGTCTCAGCATGACCCAGGATGGGGCCGACACACAGGCCCAGGGATCGAACCCCCAGCCCCTGCACTTGCTTGCAGGTGCTTTAATCTGTTGAGCTATTTGGCCAGCCCATTTTTAAGGGAAATATAAATCCCAAGTTTAAAACAATTAACATATAAAATTTTCTGGGTAGTCATTATTGGGTTCTCTTTTTTGGGGGGGTTCTCTTTATCTTGAGGTTTTCATTGAAAAATTCCCTTAAGAATTTTAAATGGTCTTGAGCATATCTATTGCTAGCCTTCATTCTTCCTGTTAAATGGATCTCAAATATATATATATATATATATATATATATGACACAATGCATAAAATGTAATTATCAAATATAGAAGCAAATAGTTTATTTCTTCCTTGGTTAGCATTTCCTATTTTTTTTTTCATTTTGTGTATTTGGTACAAGGTCTCACTACGTAGCTCAGACTTGCAGTGATCCTCCTGTTTTCAGCCTCCCCAGTGCTGGGATTAGAGGCATGCACCACCATGCCCAGACTCCTCTGCCGGCTCAGTTTGCCCTGGGGGCAGGGCCAGTGCACCTTGAGGGACCGGGAATCGAACCTTGGTCTTTGTAATTGCCAAAGCAGGTGCTTCGTCCACTGCACTATCTCACAGGCCCTCCTAGTTTTCTAAATTAAGACAAAGGTTAAAATCATTGTCAAGGGTTGAGTCCAGCTTTATCTTAGACAGGCGGCAGGATTTCTTTCAATGCAAAATGGGGGAAAAATGTACCTGCTCATGATCGACCTCTACTGGCTGCTTTTTAATGATCCAGGTGACAGACTCCGAGAGAGGTGGGGTAGTCAGAGACCCTGAGTAGGTCCAGTAATCGGGGCAGGCAGGCATCAGGCAGGTGGGGTCAAAGGACTCCAATTCCACGAGGGTGTCCTGGGCAAGGGAAGAGTCACTGAGTCATTCGTTATGCAGTGGTGAAAACCACTCTGGAATCAGATGGTGAAGCAATGATTTTCAGGGACTAGCAGGCGAGCTCCAGGGACCCCGGGCAGCTTCCCAAAGCATTGTCACTGCCTAGGTTAGCATCCTGCCCAGGTTTTATTTTTGCAATCACTTGTACATTTAAGATATGAAATCTTTTTCACCCTCAGTTCTAGTGCAAAGCTAACCCAAAGCTGTCCTCTTAAAATGCAGTACACACCAGGAAGAGCTTAAGTCCAAGACTAAGAGGAGAAAGAAAAAGTAAGATGGAGAGGGAGGAATAAGTAACAGGCCCCCAACAAGTAGCCACTTGGGGATACTGAATATTGAAAAATTAATCCTGTGGGTTGGACCGGTGATACAAGTGACATTTCTTCGCAGCCAGACAAATCAAATTTCTGTAGAACTTTACGTGTTCCATAGCTGTTGGAGGAAGCTAAAGGAAAGACAACTGCTCTGGACAAGAACTGAGGAGGAGCTGGTGTTAGGAACAAAGGATGGGTCCGCTAATAGAAGTAGCCCAAGCGGCAGGTCTTACGTGGCAGTATCAGAAGAGAACGTACATAGAGTTCACTTAATTACACTCCAGGTTCAGTGTAGCTTCCTAATGTCTCCACTCTGAAATTGAAACATAAAATGTACTTCGAGGGACTTAGGGGGAAAATTACCTTATGCTTAATTGATGGCAAAGTATCCAGCAATTTCCGTAGCTCTTTATGATGTTTGCCTAGCTAAAGAACAATCAAAGAGAAAATATTACAAACAACGGACATCTCACTGTAAAACAGGAACAGAATTCGAATTAAAGTGAGCCACCTGGTGCTTACATATAAACAAACCACACAGCTGAAACTAGACTGAAGATGGAACTTGAGAATGTCATAAACATCATGGAGTTAAATAAGACACAAACAAATGAGCAGGCTCTTGCTGACAAGGGTAATGTGCCTGAGAGGAAAGGTACTTCTTGCCCCTTCCTATATTGAAATTTAAATTAATTAAAATTAGTTATTCTACACTTGCACTAACCATATTTCAAATGCTCAGTTGCCACTGATGACTACTCGATTGGATCATGTACTTTCATACCATTAGCAATATATTCTTAATAATTATTTATTTTTGTCACTGGATGGATCCTAATATCTTTGCAGTAAACAGCAATATTATAATATACTGCATTTTCCTGCTATAGTACATCATGTAAAGTTCATGAGAGCTGGGGGGATAGATCAGTGCCTTACATGTATGCCTAGCAAGCACAAGGTCTTGAGTTTAGTCCCTGGTTAAAAATAATAATAATAATAATAATAATAATAATAATAATAATAAAGGTCATGTGGGGTTTTTTGTTTGTTACCTTTAAAAATACTCCTATCACAGCCAAACCATTTTCTTCCAGCGCTGCATCCTCAAAGCTTTCAAATTTGACTGCATTCCAATGCACCAAATGCAGCTGAAACAGCATTAGAAGTGGGCTTAACACATGACCATACGGGATTGCTGCAGATTGGCAGGTTCATCCCACACACAGTACTTAATCCTACTTCCTCATGCAGAATAAGGCCACTTTGAAAAGCATATGGCAATTAAGTGTCAAACCAGATGGCAGTAAAGAACAGGAGGAAATTTAGGCCAGAGCAATAATTAGTGTTACTTTGGATGAGAGGGATTTATTAAGGGAGAAACATAAAATTCATATAGCAAAGCAACACTTCAGTGAGGGATGAACGTTTGTTCAGTCTCATCCTGATTTGCATGAAACACTAATATCCAAAGTCCATTTGCATCTAAAGCAGAGAAGATGTTTATACAGAGAAATAGATTTTTCCCTATGGAAATCAGACAGAAGTTGAAGACAAATTTCGCCTTGAAGGGATGACCACGTAAAATGTGTCATTTTTAAAATAACATTTAGAACTTAAGGGGGGAATTATAAATTAGGGGGAAAATTATAAGAAGAAACTCTATTTTCTTATGCTCATCTTCTATGTCCTTATGTCATTTCTCATCATGGATGACTGCATGAGCCCCAGCCACCCAAGTGCAATTCCTTAAAAGTCCTGGTTCATTTGCCTCCCTCCACTCCCCAAGACGATATCATATCCAAATTCTAGTGCTTTTATTTTAGAAATATTTGCTAAATCTCACTTTCTATCTATTTCTATTGCCGCAGCCTTCATGGAAACTTGCACTGTTTCTCATGCGGATTAATCCAACCTTTTGGATCAATCCAACCTCGGGCCTCTGTACTGTCACCTAATCTAGGCAATAATTCAAGCCTAGATGAGAATTGTACAGGAGTCCAGTCTCAAGATTGTAAGGTTCATTTCCATCATATTAGTTAAGATGTCTATAATTTTTACACGTCTAAGCTGGGAGTGGCCAAATATGTCCCCGAACAAGCTAGCTGGCATGAACAGGCATTGCCTGAGTCTTCCTGCTAATTTCTTAGAATGAGGAACCTCAGAACTAGCCCACTTCACCCCAGTTGTTGCTGTTCCTGAGCTGTTCCACATACCTCTGCTGGGTAGCACTTGCTGTCCACAGTGTGCTCAGAACCCCAGGCATCAATGGCCCCCCAGTGAAAATGGAACTGCTTCAGCCGGTAGTTGTGTTCCAGCGGTCCTCCCTTGATGACTGAAATGGCAATGTAACAACACTTGGAGGCATGGTTACTTATGCTGTGGGGGAGTGTGGGGAACAGGCCCAATCTGTGGCCGTGCCACCTATGTGAGCTGTCCTAAATGAAGCACACTACATTACACTGAAGTATTTATAGGCAGTGTGATGGACAAGGAAGAAGATGTTTACATTTTTAAAAAATTACTACAGCAAAAGACATACTGCATTAATCGCATTCACGACACGCCCCTCACTTGGAACATGCTTATCCACAGTTCTTACCACTTCCTGAAGAACTTCTTGGAGTCCTCCTGAATGTCTTTAGTTGCTCCATTGTGATTATTTTTAATGTGTTGAATTGCTTCAAAATGTTTACCTTTTATGGTCATTTTGACTTTGGGGGAGAGCGGGGAAGCTGCAACATGCTAGATCCAGTGAATAAGGTGGATGTTTTTACAAGCCTGTCTTTCTGCTGGACAGCACTGGGTGGTGGCATTTACCATATATATTTTTTATCACATCTCATAAAGACACTCATAAAAAAAGGACTCCTAGAACTGTGACAGAAAGTAGCAAGAATGATGAGATAAGTGTGCTCAAAGCAAGGGGGAGTGTTTTGGGAGGGATTCTTGGCAATGTGTCTTTTGCTGAATAAATGTTTTAACTTTAAATATCCACCATATATTTTGATCACATCTCGGAAAGTAGATTTCCATGCAGTTTCCATATGTATAAGGGTACAACCAAGTGACATCAAGATTTAATTGCACACGAGACTGCATAGAGTCATTAAAGGCCAATTCTTGGCTTAGTTTTACATTCTATAAAGTATTGGCTTTATTTGTGTACAATACAATAAAAATTTCTCTCAGCATATATATTTAACCAAACTAGTAGAAGTGAAATATGGAGGTAAAAAGATACTCTTTTCTTTTTATGCATGAACACAACCCTTTCCAAGAGAAAAGTGATGTTCTTTTTCCCCTTTCATTAAAATGGAATATGTGGGAGCTGGGGAGATAGTTCAGTGGAGTAAGTGATTGCCTGAGTTTGATCCCTGGTACCATAAAAAAATGGAATATAAAATTTTCAAGTCAAAAATTATCACCCAGGGCCGGCCAAATAGCTCCGCAGATTCGATCCCAGGGCCTGCCATGCCGGCCCCACTCCTGGGGCATGCGAGATGGTAAATGAGACTGGGCATGGTGGCGCGTGCCTGTAATCCCAGCTCTCGGGAGGTTGTAAACAGGCGGATCACTACAAATCCGATCTAGTAGTGAGACCCTGAACATCCTGTAGACCCTTCCCTAAAAAAAAAAAAAAAAAAAAAAAACAGCTCCCTCCTGTTAGTATGATTTTGGAAAATACGGAATCCATTCTGTTGAAGAAAACTGAAATTTTCATCTCAACTTAAGTGACCAAGGCAAAAGAAGGGCCAGCTTTTTTCTCCTTTCCCTAGAACAGCACTGACACTTCCAGGAGCCTTATTGTGTGACTACTCTAAAGGTGACAAGCAGGGCAAAGAAGAATGCAGGGCAGAGGAAAAAGAGGCAGAATTCACTTTTAGGTGTATTTTGATACACAGAATACTCAACACATTTTTTAAAAATAGTTGCCAACATTTAAAGTTTGGAAAGTTTCATATAGAAAAAATCCACATTTCTGGCTCGCTGCAGTAGTGCACACACTTGCAGTCCCAACAACTTGGGACGCAGAAGCAGGATTGCAAGTTCAAGGCCAGCCTGGGAAACTTAATGAAGACAGCCTGGTCAATTAATAAGTTTCTTTCTAAAGTAAAAAATTGAGAGAATTGGAAATGTAGCTCAGGGTTAGAGTGCTGTTCCTGGATTCAATTCCCCAGTTACACACACACACACACACACACACACACACACACACACTTTCAACCTGACTTGTGAGAATGAAACACCCTGGCCATGTCAGGCCCACAATCCCAACAGGCGAGAGGCTGCATGGCAGAAATGACTGCTGCTTTTAAGGGCTTCTGCACAAGCCCTCACTGGTGTGCACTGCATACAGAGAGGTGATACGGGGAGCTGTTCTACCACAAACTGTGGTTAAGAGCATGTGCTTTGCAGGAAAGGGCTTCTGTTTGAGTGAGTTAGCTATGTGTCATTAGCTGTGCCTGTTGCCACCTTCTAACTTGGTACCCAATACTAGGCACCCCCTGCTATTCAAAACCTTGTCTTGTTCCCTCCCCTAGTTTGAACTGGAGCTCATGACTTACTTTGAAGGGTAAAAGTGATGGGAGGTCTCTTTGGGGATTAAGTTGAAAAAGACTCAGGCTTCCATTCTGCTTTCCCTCTCTGACTATTCTCACTTGCTCTCTGCGAAGCCGATAAAGTCAGCCTTTGTGAGCTGTCCAATGGACAAGTCCATATGGCAAGAGAACAAGGGCGATGTCTTGGTCATTTCTTCATCACTGGGACAAAATACCTCACAGCAGCAACTTGACAGAGAGGTTTAGTTTGGCACACATTTCAGTCCATAGTGGGCTTGCTCCAAGGCAGGACCACAAAGCAGAGGAACAGGTGCAGAAGAGATGCTCAGTGTATGGTGGCAGGGAAGCAAAGAGTGAAGGGAAGCAGGGCAGAGATAAGCCTTCCAGGGCACGCCCCCAGTGACCCATCTCCTCCAACCAGGCTCCACTTTCAAACATCACATTTATCTATAAGCTCACCAGTGCACTAGGCCAGTGATGAATATCGCACCCCCATTACCCAGTCACCTCCCCAAAGCCCCACCAATTACCACCCAAAAGCCCCAAGTATGAGGCTTTGGGGAACCTTTAGGTAAAATCCATCACAGGCACCTTCTGCCCATCAGCCACCCAGGAAAGGAGGCCCTAGGAGAAACAGCATATAGTCACTTGAATGTGTTTGCAAGAGGATCTTTTGCAAAAGACATCATGAGCTAAGACCCCAGCCTTGATCATGGCCCCATGAGAAAATCTGGACCCAAATTGTGTGCATGGCCTACAAAACTCTCCATGGATCAGCTCTTGCCTGCCTCTGAACTCGTTCTTCCACCACTTCCCTCCTACACTTTAAACACAGTGAGACTTCACACCAACATCACACTGCCTCACACCTCTGCCTCTGCATAGATCACCCAGGCATCACATGTTCTGGAAGGGCTTCTTCCCAAACCAACCCATGTGCATACCTCCACCACAGCTCTTAACACTCTGCGTTCGCATCCTGTCTTCAAGAGCTGCTGCTCTGCACACTATAAACTTCTTAAAGACAGGGGCCACCCCTTCTTCCTCTTTCCATTTTGAGCACATGGCATAGTGCCAGGCACTTTGTAGATCCACAATGAAAGTAGGAATTAAACTGACAAGTGCCTGTTGGTTAGTTAACTGAGATGTCAGTGATACCCTCATCAAAAGCAAAGGGAAAGGCTGTGTTTGTGTGTGGTGGATGAGTAGAGGTGGGGGGAAGAACAGTCATCCAACAAAGGGGCAGAAAAGGGTTGGCCATGGGCCGGGGAGATGGAGCAGTAGAATAAGTGCTTGAACTGAGTTCAATCCCTGGTTCCGCCAAAAAAAAGGCAAAGAAAAGGGCCACCTGGACAGCTCAGCAGACTAAAGCGCCTGCTTAGGCAAAGCATAGCGGCCAGGGTTTGGCTGGAGTTCGATTCCTGGTCTACCATGCCGGCCCTGCCCCCGGAACACACTGAGACACAGATGCAGACTAGGCGTGGTGGCGCGCGCTTGTAATCACAGCGCTTGGGAGGCTGTAAAAAGGAGAATCACTACAAGCCCAGTCTATGTAGTGAGACCCTGACCACCCTGTAGACCCTGTCCTAAATAGAGAAAAAAGAAACAAGGGGCAGAGAAATGAGATCGAAGACAGTAACTCAGAGAGGAGAGCAGATAAAAGATCTGTCAAATAAATATATACTCTTCTGCTTGAGGTCACTGACATCTTGTTATTTCTGTGCTCTAAAATGAGAAAGGTTTAAAGCTGTAAATAATTCAATAACAAATATAAAATGCCTTGCATAGGGTCTGACTTACAGGGAAGAATACTATTCTGCATATTCATTCTTTCGCTTTTCAATGTGCAAGCAAAACAGCTAGCAGAGAAAAATGATGAGAAGAACAATGATACACAGAACCATATACACAACAGTAAACGCAGGAAGTAGACATGAGGACACTGGATTGATGGAAACATTCTAAAAGTGGACTGCAGTAAAAATTGCAAGACACTGTTAATTTACTAACCATTTACATTTCAACTATGTGTATCTGCAGAACTAAAAATAGAGGAGAGCTTTGAAAACACATGTGAATGAATTCTTACCAGATTCGCTGGTGATGCCCTACAAAACTGGAAAGCAAGTCAGGAGGAGGCAGGAAGCACCCATAGGAGGTAAGCAATGGGTTTGAGCTCTCCTCTTTAAGCATTCGACTTTGCCAATAAAGGAATTTCAGAGGGGATGGCAAATCCAGGAAGCATCTAGATTAAGAATAATTTAGCAAGCTGGGGAGATAGCTCAGTGGCATAAATGCCTGCCTGGCAAGCACAAGGTTCTGAGTTTGATCCCTATTACAAAAATAAACAAATACATAAATAAATAAATAAATAAATAAAAGAATAATTTAGCATCCTTCCCCACATCACTTAAGTTTCATCTACTCATTCAAATCATGAGCTGTGTCCTATTCAAGGGTACTGAATGATAAAACAGTATCCCCCAAAGGGACAGTAGTATGAGTTCACATACCTTCCCTTATAAATCTGTTAATTTCTGTAAAGGAGGTTCTGTTGTCCTCTTTGGTTCCAGAGTTTAGGACTTTGAGTCTTGTCATTTTGTTTTGGCCCACCTAATTAAATGTTTGCCAACTTTTTTGATCTTTCCAAAAAACCAACTTTTGATTTCACTGACTTCTGTTCTTTATTATTTCCTACTTTCTTGCTTTGAAATTAGTTTGATCTTTGCTTTCTAGTTTCTTAAGGTGAAAAGCCAGGTTACTGGTTTGAGAAAGTTCTCTGTTACAGGCATTTTCATCTCTGAATTTCCCTCTGAGAGCTATTTTAGTGGTCTGATGTTTTTGCCACATACCTTCCCTTCTATAAGCTCTTTTCCTTCATTCCTCATTTTTATAAAGCACACCATAGCAGCATTTCTTAGGGAATTTTTTGGGAGGTGTATTATATTTGTCAATTTATAGCTGTTGATATTTATTAGATCCTTACTTTTCTAGAATTATTTCTTACTTTTCTTTGATTCTAAGATGTCTTACTTTTTAATTTTTTTCTTTATTTTTTATTTTCCTGTCGTCTTTCTTCTCCTCTTTGAATGCTATTGATTGTTTTGCAACAGTATGGAAAAATAGCAGTGAAGAATATACAGGAAATAAGAAGCAGTCACTGAAAGGAAAAGAGAGAGAGACAGAGAAAATTAGGTTATTATGAAAGATTGATACCATCCTAGAAGAAAAAAAATATTAATGCAAATTAAAGGGAAGCTACCAGTTTTAGTCTTTTTCGACAAAACAAGTGAAAAATTAATCCATCTGTGTAAAATTTTTGTTGCATATTTTGTAATAAAACTCTGTGAGACTGATTCACCTAGGAAAGGTACCATTAAGAGATGATTTAGTCAGTGAGATTTATAGGTCTAAAGAACAATTATGTTGAAAACTTGAGTCATTTGTTTTCCATCTACGATTACTCATGCGAATGTGTAGGCCAGAATTCCTAAATCTATTGCTCAAAAGAAAAAAGATTCTAAACACTTTTTTAAATAACTATTTTTTTTGTTTGTATTTTAGGGAAAGGTCTACAGGGTGTTCAGGGTCTCACTACTAGATCAGACTCATAGTGACCCACCTATTTATAGCTTCCCAAGAGCTGGGATTACAGGAGTGTGCCACCATGCCCAGTCTCAATGGGTGTCTCAGCGCACCCTGGGGGCGGTGCCAGCACAGGGGATCAAACCCCTGGCCCCTGCATCTGCTTGCAGGTGCTTTAATCCGCTGAGCTATTTGGCAGGCCCTTAAATAGCTATTTGGCCAAGAGCTCTGGGGCTTAATTCTCTTGGTTAAGAAAACTGTTAAACAACTTCCTGAGATTTCCAACTCAATGCAGCATTGATATATTGGCAACACTCTGTTTCTAGACTGTCGAGGGCTTTAAAAACTAAGCAGCAGAGAGAGAGAGAGAGAGAGAGAGAGAGAGAGAGAGAGAGAGAGCCAGAGACAGAGACACTGCTTACTAGCATATGATTGAGATTTGAGAAGACTGTTTTGTATCCAGAGTGAATGAATGTATGAGAGTTGGGGCTCCATAGCTGGATCTGGCCATTAGTTGAGCCTTGGCAGGAGTAATGGTCGTGTTCCATAGGAGAAAAGAAGAGCTCACCAGATAGCAAGATGGTTGTCTTAGTTAATTTCTTATTGCTAGGACAAAATATCTGACACCCACGAGCTAAGGGAGGAAAGGCTTATTTTGGCTCACAGTTTGTAGAGGTTTCAGTCCATAGCTGGCTGGTTTCAAGGCACAGTGCTGTGCTAGAGGGCAATGGCAGAGCAAAAGCAGCTTCATGACATGGCAGGCAGGGGAAAGAGAAAGACAGGGAAAGAGAGAGATCCAAGGCAGTGAAAGAGAACTATACCCCTTTAGGCCACACCTTCAGTGAATCACCTCCTCCAACCAGGTTCTGCCTCCCAAAGACACATTTAGCTATAAGCTCATTAGTGGACCAGTCCACTTAATAAGTATTGAACTCTCATGATCCAATCGCCTTCTTTCTCCATGTGGTCATTGGGCTCCCAGGGGACAACTAGATACAAAACATAACTGGTCATCTGGAACATAGCAATTTAGTTGTCGTATTGAAGATTTCTGGAATTCTTGTGCACAAGTAATACTATGAGCATTTGGTTGAAATGAGGGCACACTCCAATTAAGAAAGATGCCCACAAACCTGGAAGGAAAAGGAGCAATTTCTCCTTGGGATGCTCAAGGTTTGGGGGTCATGACACACCATGAAGGAGAAGGCAAAAAATGTGGGATGAGAAGGTAAGGACAGACTCAAATATGCACCCTCAATCCAGCAAAGAAGTATGTCAGAAGGAAGATAATAAGGGCCGGGGAGATAGCTCAGTAGAATAACTACCTGCCTGGCAAGCACAGAGTCCTGAGTTCAATCACTGGCACCACAAAAAAAAAAAAAAAAAAAAAAAAAAAAAAAAAAAAAAAAAAAAAAAAAAAAAAAAGGAAGACAATAAGGGGGACGGTGAAAGCGAGAGAGATTAGGCCCATTGAGGAGCCATTTGTCTGCAGTTGAACCAGAGAGTAATATCTAAGTATCAGACTACCACTAGGAAAATGAAAAAAAAATGGTACAGTTGAGAATCTTAGACGAAGATAAACACAGGAGTGAACATTTCCCTATGCTTTTAAGTTATATTTTTACTTTATTCACTATGACTCATAGACTTACTTCCACATATTTATGGGAGAAAACAAACTTCCTTGTGATTAGGAGGGCTCAACCTCAGCTCTGCTGATACTCAAGGCTGGATAATTCTTCATCAATGTTGTTCTGTGCATTGTAGGATCTTTGGCAGCACCCCTAGTTTTTTTTTTGATGTTGTCATATTTATTCATTTTTTAAAATGTTGTAATTTCTTTTGTCCTTGTAAATAATGACTTGATTTCATGCTTAACTTAATAGTTTCAGTCATATATATATTTTTTTTCAAAATTTTATTGATAAACAGATAGCAATGAGACAGTTTCAAATCAAATCGGAAATACAGTTTCAACAAATAATACACTGCATATTTTCTTCTTAGTGGTTAATTGCTGTACAAGATGCGGACTTGAGATCCTATTTACAAACACCATTAGAACAAATCATTCTATTCATTAAGAGAATGCAACTATATATCTATCCTAACCACTTTGAATACACAGATACAAAATGTACATTCATCTGTATACCCTATTTTTTCGAAGTTCCGTTATTGAATATAATAGGTGTGTAAACTCAGCAAAATATTCAAAAAGAGTCCAGTAGACCATAATAGCATTGGGTCTTCTGTTTAACTGGCAATGTCAGAAATTATTGACCTGAGTCTCCCACAGCTCAACATAATATCATGGCTTTACTTCCTATATTTCGTCTTCATACTTTTCTACTGGATGGTTAAGACCAAGGTAAAGCAGGACCTGTGCAATAAGAGTTGTAGCTTTTTGGTCTGAGAAGGTCAGTGAAATCCCCTCAGGATTTATCCTGAGATCCTGTACCTCAGATTGTAGAACCTTTGTCAGTGTCAACCATGTGAATGAGTCACGGCCATTGCTTGGCCAATAGCACCCCTGGTTTTGAGCCACTCTATTGCAGGTGTACACCTCCTTCCCATTAGTTGCAACATCCAGAATGCTTCCAGATGTTACCAAGTGTCCTCAGTTTAAGGGGTAGGAAGAGTCCTAGGGAGGATGATGGCTAAATTGCCTGTAATGGAAAGCCACTGCCATAGATATACTATTTCAAAGTGTCACAATTTCAGAGTAATTGTAACTACATGATGCCATCAGATTCAGTTAAAAAGGGGTGCTAATCCTCAGTGGTACAGCACTTACCTGGCATGTGCAAGGCCCTGGGTTTCATTCTTAGCACAGAAGAAGGAGAAAGAAGAGAAAAAGAAAAACTGTACATACAAGTAATCAATTTCTGTCTTTCATACTTATAAACCTTTCAGGCAAACTTTGAAATTCACATTAGTTTATATCCAGGTAGGCTGGAATAAAAAGGGAAGTTTCAAAAACTATATAATATTTGATTGAAAAAAAGTCTTTCAACTTTTTTCTTTTAAAGTAGGTAGTAGCATTTAATAAAACTAACAGAACGTAAGTTTTCATCTCTCTAATAAGACTTCTCGTAACTAGTTAAGACTACAGTCTAATGCAGATATGAATGTTCTTTTTGCCCATTTCAACTTTATTGTGATCTGGGCTGGTCAAATAGCTCAGTGAATTAAAGTGCCTGCAAGCAGACTCATGGGCCAGTGGCTCGATCCCTGGACCTGCCATGCTGGCCCCACCCCCAGGGCGCCCTGAGATGGCAATTGAGACTGGGGGTGGTGGCACGCAACTGTAATCTCAGCTCTTGGGAGGCTGTAAACAGGAGGATCACTGTGGGTCCAATTTAGTAGTGAGACCCTGAACACCCTATAGACCCTTCCATAAAATACCAAAAAAAAAAGAAAAGTTTATTGTGCTCTATATCGCTAATAGTATTACTATTTAATATAATCGTTCACACATTTCCTAGACAACCAGAGAAGAATCACCATATAGCCAATATACATATGTAATAAACATCTGATAAAGTTTCAAATTTCATATCCTCTCCTTAACACTAATTACAGAAGCTCCAGGGTCATATGCACACTTAGTCATAAAAACATTACTTTTGGGCTTGAGAGATAGCTCATTAGAATAAGTGTCTGCTTGGCAAGTGCAGGATCCTAAGTTCAATCCCTGGTACCACAAAAAAAATAGTACTTTTACTAGCAGAAGAAAATGTCCATAAAAATTAGAGATTACTTCTTCATATAATCAAAAGGTAAGATCAATGAGGTCTATGGCATTCCTAACAAAGAGGTCATTACCACTACAGAAGGAATTTGTTATCTTGATGTGACACTATTCTTTACTGCAGATAGAGCCACTATCTAGAGATTGTCCTTACCTGATCTATCCGTAGAATCTTCAAATTCCACGAGGAAAGAGTATCCATTATTCCAGATGTGCATACAGGTGGTCGGGTCATAAGAGATGGTGAGTGGTTTTAAGCCAGGGTCATAAACACTGTCCTTCCACCGGATGTTAATGGGTGACTGTCTATCACCTGCTGGAATAAGGTCCATGCTTTCCCAGAGAGGATGCACTAGGACAAAAGGGGAGGGAATTAGCAAAACTATCCACTATCTAGGGACAGATAAATGTCCTAGGAATTAACTACAGAAGGCCTCAGTCAACTGCCTAAAGCAAAGGACAAAAGCAGACCAGAGAGGATTTTTTGTTGTTGTTTTGATTTAGTTGTTCGCTGTGTGTTCAGGTTGGCTTTGAACTCACTATGTAGCCCAGCTGGCCTCGAACTCACAGTGACCCTCCTGTCTCAGCACCCCAGATGCTGGGATTACAGGCATGCGCCACCATGCCTGGCCTCAGAGGGCATCTTATGGGGAGCTATTACACAGTAATCTTGTAAAACTAACACATATCAGCCTGCCCACTAATATTCCCCAAACACAAGGTCATCCGTCCTATCACAACAGCAAGACGCAAGATAAGTGCCATGTGGAAGTAGGGATTTCACATGAGTTTCTTTGCTTGTTTGCTGATTTCCTCAGCCCTGAGCCTGAGAACTGTATTTGTTTCTGTTTTTTGTTTTGTTTTTTCCTTAACTGTTTTATTTTTTCCTTTGTACCAGGCATCAGGACCTTGTACCTGCCAGGTGGCTGAACTATACCCCCATCCTCCAGAACGGGTTTTAAATACAAAGTCAATTTAATTTTCAGTGGCAGTCTTTCTTTCCTTTCTTTCTTTTTTTTGGGGGGAAGGATCTACACGGTGTTCAGGGTCTCACTACTAGATTAAACTCATAGTGATTCTCCTGTTTACAGCTTCCGAAGAGCTGGGATTACTGGTGTGTGACACCAAGCCCAGTCTCAATTGCTGTCTCTGCATGCCCCAGGGGCGGGGCTGGCACAGCAGGCCCCAGGATCAAACCCCTGGCCCCTGTACTTGCTTGCAGGCACTTTAATCCGCTGAGCTATTTGGCTGGCCCATGACAGTCTTTATTTTCAACAAAAGAAATAGCGTAGGATTTTTGGAAAGCAAATTTTGAATCAAGTCCTGTCAATTTTTAATTGGCCAGTAGAATGAGGACTTGTGCAGCCTGCCCCATAAGATGCTCATATTATGGACATGTGCACGCTGAGTTCACCTCTATGAAATCAAACTCTGAGCATTAGGCAGCCTCCTGTAAGATCTGGACAGAATATCAGCATTGTTTAAAGGCCTTCTGAGTGCACATTACATCACACAGATGTGGGTGCGGTAAACACATACAACTTAACACTGATGATTGCTGACGATAGTCTTCCACAGAGTCATGCACCAGGTCTGCTTGGCACCCCCCTGTTAATATCAGCAGACCTCAAGATAGACAGACCTTGAGACATCCAAGTACAATAAACAGAGCCCACATTTATCAGTTCGCTGTGGCCTAGTTCTCTGCCATTTAGAAGCACCGTGGATGGGCAAAATTTTAAAAAATGTAAATAACAGAAGTCATCACCAATAACCTGCTGCATCTTGCCCCACCATAAAAATGAGCCTGGTAATGACTAACGTAGCTATTTTATCCCCCAGCCATATCCCCTGTATATGTCCTGGTCATTCTCCTACTTCTAGAGAAAGAGAAACCTGCCTCCAGCTTACTCTGATGGAGCAGATAGTCCATTTCCTTTGGTAGTTGCCCAGTCTTGCAGTCCAGATCAGAGACTTGGTCTTCATTTGTTGTTTGGTTTTGGTTTGGCTGTTGCAAGCATGCTCCACCACTACAGCCATGCAGCTCTCTTAAGTGTGCAGACTAGTGGCTCTCAACAGAGGGAGTGATTCAGCACTGATGGGACATTTGCCAATAACTGCTCTATAAGACAAAACTGAGCTAAGGTACTACTGACCTCTAGTGGGTGGAGGCCAGAAGTGCTGATAAACCCCCTTCCCTGCCTAGGAAGGTCAGGCTCCCCCAAGCAAGAATTATCCTGACAAAATGTCCATAGAGCCAAAGTTGAGAAGTCTTCCTCTAGAGCTAAAAAGCTATATGGAAACCCATAGTATTGTTTGTTTCTATTTTCTTGTCATATAACATGATTGTCTCCTTTCTGGAGAGGTCTGAATCTAATGATTTTCCTCTGTAATATGAAAGAAACTGTAAGGAACAAGAATTTACTTCAGAGAATAAGGAAGTCCTTCTGCTTTAGAAATACATTAGACAATGGACACTACATATGAACTGGCACAGTACTGTCATTGTAATCTGATTAGCATGCAACCTGGTTACTCTGTGGTGGTGCACACCAATAATCCCAGAATTCTGGAGACTGAGGCAGGAAGATGGCTGATAGTTGGAAGGCAGCCTGGGCTACATAGAGAGCTCAAGGCCAGCCTGAACTACTTCGCAAGACTCTGTCCTTAAAAAAGCAAAGAGAACAAAACCAGATGCAGCCTGATGAACAAGAACCAAATTTCTATTCCTTTTTTGTTGGCCTGTAGTACCTTATTAAATATATGCACTTTGACTATTGATAATCCAGCTGCCAGTGTGTGGGGGATGAATAGCTATATTTGACTCAGATTGTGTCAATTTTTAGACTTCTAGAAAACCTTAATAGCTTTTCAGTTTCAAAGATTCCTGGAAAAAACAGACAATGCCAATTGATGAGGATCTGCTATGAAGACCAAAGAAGAACTAGAATAGCAGTCAGGTCCCTCAGCCACTCTTAGTTGTTCTCCATTTTATTCAGGAAATAGAAAGTATCACTCTGACGCCCATGGGACACCAGCTCAAGGAATCTGCGCTGGCTCTTCAGCTGTCCTTTTATGGTCTGGATACTCTGTTTCTGCCCCTTTGTTTTTAACTTTAGCTTCCAGCAGGTTCTCTTTTACTCACCTACCTCCATTGCCAACCTAGGCCACCCCTGCCATAGCAGAAGGGCTTGTTCACTGTTCTGTTAGTGAAGTCAGCTTCTTTTTGCCAAGGGATTGCTTTTCTAAGGATAAATTTATACTTCAGTTCCTCTCTCCTCCTATTTATTTATTTTGGTACCAGAGATCAAACTCAGGACTTCTCACTTCCCAGGCAGGGGCTTATGCTGCTGAGCTATCTACCTGGTCCCTCTTACTCATTTAAACAAAAAGATTAAAATAATTTCATGGTATTTGCTCAGATTTTCCCTCACAATAAGATGATTATGTTTTCTAACTAATAATGGCTTGATTTTCAGATTGTTCTTATGCAGAGAAAATGAAATATACAGAGACAGTGATTGTATCAATGTGTGTGTGTGTGTGTGTGTGTATGTGTGTATGTATCTTTTTGAGACAGTCCTACATGTTAGACTGGTCTTGAGCCCACTTTGTAGCCCAGGATGATCTCAAACTCTCAATAATCCTCTATTCTCTGCCTCCTGAGTGCTGGAACTACAAGCAGGCATCACGACACCCAGTTCACCCATGTCAAGTGAGCTCATTCATGCTGTCACTATGAATCTGTAGCTGCTAAGCAGCAAAGTCATGATGAGAACGTGCTTGGTCTTAGCTCTCAGTCTTTCTTCTTGGTAGTCTCAGCTTTAATTTATCTTGTGCTTTGGCACTGTCCTAGTCTGTTCAGGCTCCAATGACACAGTATCATAAACCACATGTCTTATAAATGAAGGAAATCTGCTTTCACAGTTGTGGAGCTTGGGAGGCCCAAGAATAAGACCAGTATCTGGTGAGGGCTGCTTCCTGGTTCATATACAGCTGTGCTGCAACTGTATTTTAACATGGTGGAAGGGACAGGGAGCTCTCTGGAGTCTATAATGAACATTAGTCCCATTCATGAGGGTTCTGTGCTCATGACTTTTCACATCCCCAAAAGCACTCCTCCTAACATGGTCATCTTGGAGGTTAGGATTTCACCATAATGACTTTTAGATGGATGCATGCATTCAGTTCATTGCAACTACACATTTCTCTAGCTTTGATTCTCTCTCTCTCTCTCTCTCTCTCTCTCTCTCTCTCTCTCTCTCCCCCTGAAAGAGAGAAAGCTCCTGCTTGTCTTAGACCCTTTTTCCTGCTCCTCCTTTGCAGAAATCAATTTCCCTTCATGAATATCGGTCCTGGTTTCTCTTGCTTTAGGTTTTTGGCTTAACTGTCACCTCCTCAGCAAAGTTTTTTCTGCCACCCTCTTAGAATATGATCCTTCCATATTATAATTTTTCTATAATACCGCTGTGATTCTTTTCCTATGCTACATTTATTACATGGGTATAGTTATAATTATATGCCTAGCTTAATTTTCTGCTTTTGTCACTACCCCACAATTCAGCTGGCTTTCAATTAATGCATGGGGATTGAATGAATAAACTGAAAAGCATCATTGGGAAGATTTCCACCATAGACTGAATATTGGCATGCCCCACTTTCCTGTTGAAATTTCCACCACAAGGTGACAGTATGAGGAGGAAGTACCTTGGGGAGGTGCTTAGATTAGGAAAGCAGAGCCTCCAAAGAGATCAGTGCCTTTATCAGACACCTAAGGGAGTTCTTTGGCACCTTCCCTCAAGGGAGGACACAGCCAAAAAGGACCATCTTTAAAGTAGGAAGCCTCTGGGCCGGCGAGATAGCTCAGTGGACTAAAGCACCTGTAACAATCAAATACATTTTTTTAAAAAAATAAAGGGGTTTGCCAGTTAGCTTAGTTGTTTAAGCCCCTGCATGGGAAAACCCAATCAGGCTTGTAGGACTGTGGTTTGATTCTCAGCTCCATGTGACACACCACACCAGTCCTTAAGGCAGCCTGAGCCAGACAAAAGCAAACAAACAAAAAAAAAACTTTTTAACTTTGGGCCAGCCAAATAGCTCAGTGGATTAAAGTGCCTGCTTAGGCAGACAAAGGGGTCAGGGGTTCGATTCCCGGCATGCTGTGCCGGCCTCACCTCAGGGGCATGCTGAAAAAGCCATAGAGACCGGCCGTGGAGGTGCACCCCTGTAATCCCAGTGCTTGGGAGGCTGTGAACAGGTGGATCACTACCAGTCTGATCTAATAGTGAGACCCTAGACTCTGCAGACCGTGTAACAAATATAAATAAATTGAATTAAATTAAAATTTTAAAG